AATTGAATATAAAAATGCATTTAATTGATGATAAAATCAGTCATTAAAATAACTTGAGTCCTACAAAGCTGTCAATTTGCCTTAGGCAGAGTAAAAGGACTTTTTAAGAAAACGATAAATTACTTTGAACAAGAAATAATATCTAGAATCTCTATAGCTTTCCAACTGTTGATAGCATTGTCTGGAGGGTAGCGATACACCAGATTGGGTATCTTCTCGTTTCCATCTTTGACCATAGCGATTTAATCCTCATGTATGAACCTAAAGTTTTAGAAGATCTCATGCATACTGTGTTTCCACAGTTGTTTACCTTTATCATCTTTGTCCCACTCTAAAGATGGTTGGTATCCCAATCTGAATCGATCTTTCTTTTAAGGCACATTCAACACTTTTCCCCAGCCCATCAGGGTGTCTACTTTCTATTGCTGCCTCCAGGTTCCTCCAGGAGGACATCGGTAACTTTGACCTTTTAGTACCCTATTTTTGGCCAACCGCCAAAACACTTGCGACTTCTAATGCTTGGAAAGAAGTTTCCAAGCTCTCTCTGTCAAATTCAATGTATTTGAATAAAGACAAGTGGCTATCCAACATGTCCTCTTCGCCCGAGACGATTATAAGTTTATTGCCCACAATGAACTTCAGCTTCTAATGGAAATTTGAAGTGACAGCTCCAGCAACATAGATCCAAGGTTGACCCGAGTGACAACTATAGGCTAGATTAATATCCATGACCTAGAAAGTGATCTTAAATATTTGATGATAACCTTCTCTCTCAAAACACAAAACCCTAACATATCTCTCTTCCACATCCTATGAACCCGTCTCTCTTCTTCTTCAACATAACTCATACCATATCTCTATTCCACATCCAAAAAAATCGTCTCTCTTCTTCTTCCATAAATCTTGTCTTTCTTCTTCATACTAAAAGGTATCAAGTTCAACATTGTTTCTTCGTTATCTTTCTTCTTGTTCTTCTTGTTCTTGTTCTTGCTCTTCTAAAAGGTAATCATGTTATTCATATGCTTTCTACCATTTTTCTTTGTATAGGTTTTAATATTCATCGCTTTTAAAGAATTTCAAGGTACGTCAGTCCTCGACCTACTCCATCCATTTGGTGTTACAAAGGGTTGTCATTTGGTATGGTGTTTCAAAATGCTCATGAGCAATTTTAGGTCATTTTTTGTCCACCTTGGTGAATCAATCGGAAATTTGTAGAGGTTTGAATAATGATTACAATGTGACTGTATTTACTCAAATTAGGTTAGTTTATTGATAGTATTGTGTATGTGCTACTATACTTTTCGAGCGTGGGCACTGGATATTTCAACTGTGTGTTCATTGTACTTGGACCTTTTTTCTCATTTCCTTTTTTGACCTAAAGCCATTTCTGGCCTCTTGGATCCCTAAGTTTGACCTTACTTTAAAGATGGAAAACAATGGTATAATATGTGAGCAGTATGTTAGACTCTTAACTAACTTTTGTACATTTTGTTTCATCAAACTATTTTTTGTCAAAGAGTGACTAGTTTTTTTATCTTTACATTTGTCCTACCTAGTGAGAAAAGGCTTTGATCTAGTTACATGTAATTTAGTTTCAGATTTTTCCAAGTATGATTAGGATTCTTCTTATTTCTTTTTCAAACTTTCCAAATCTCATTTTTGTTTCTGTTTATGTTTAACATGCTATTTATAGGATTAAATGTCATGCTAGTTTATGTTTTCAAATATGGTTAACATGTTGTTTGTAGGACTGCAACGTCATGCTAATACATTTTAACTTACAGAGAAGGTGAATGAAAAAATTTAACTCAAGAAAGCGCATACTATGGGTGTGGTTCACAAATTGTTTGTGTTGCTATGAAGAAAAAAATACAAGGAGGATGAAGCGAAAGTGAAAGCTGCAAACTTGTTTGAAAGACCCAGAATGACATCCATTCAAACTTAACACAAAATTTGCAGCTCTCACTTCAACTTCATCCTCCTTTTATTATGGATGTCTTTCTGAGACAAGTAGATCATTTATTTATCTTCATTCTCCATGAATCTTTTCAATAAAATGTATGTTTGTAAAATACTTTATGAATTGATATGTTGTTGTTGTTCAAAATGTTTGCCTTGTTCAAAATATTTTATGAATTACTCATGTTCTTATTTCACTAACCCCTCACTGAACATATGCGTTCATTTAAATTGATTTAGAAAATGATAATCTAAAAAGTTAAGTTATATTTGAAAACCAACTTAGATCAATCAATGTTTTTTGAATTGCATGCATCTTGTAATTCATCTCTCGCTCTTTAACATATAGAATATGATTCAACGCTCCAAGTTCTTTGAAGCAACAATTCATTTTCTGCTAGTTTATTTTGAAAAGCATCAATTTGTTTAGAAATTCGGATTCAACGTCATTGCTATCATCATGATTATTTATTTGATGATGATGATTATTATGATGACATTGATGATATTGAGTTCGAATTAGTCAACAAATTGATGCTTTTAAGAATAAAATAGAAGAAAATGAGTTGTTGTTTTGAATAACTTAGAGCATTGAACCAAATTATATATGTTACAGAGTGAGAGATGAATTACAATATGCATGCAAATAAAATAGTGGATTGTTTAAGTTATTTTTCAAGAATAATTTAATTTTTAGATTATCATCTTATAAATCAATTTGAATGATTGCATATTTTTGTTAAGGAGTAAGGAAAAATAACCAATCCACATGTTTTGTAACAAACTCACATACATACCACGACGGTTGGAATATATAATCATGGTAAAAATTTAATACTATGCACAATTTAATTAAATTGATGCGGATGGGTTTCGAACCCATGAACTATATATATTACACCGTGTATTAACTATAACCACTGTGATAGGTAGCGCGCTACCTAGTTTATCACTACAGTTAGACATCAGTGGTGGAAAGCTGCATATTTACAGCCACACCCTTCCTAACCATGGTTGGTTAATCCTCATGGTATCCCTTTTTCAACCGTGGTGAAGTGATTTTTACGTAGTAGTGGATACACACCTACCTTGGAATACTCCTTTTGTTTCTTAAAAGGAAAAGAAGATCCCAACAGTGGTTGTAATATCTAGACCCCAGTAGAGGATATCGAATCCTCAAACGAACTCCCAATTATTCTGATGTAGCTGAGAAGGGGCGACGTTGAGCGCCTCGAGGATATCAGACTTAAAGACCGTGAAGGGACATTGACTTTGTATTCTTCAAGATGCTAGTATAGAAATAGAAAACAAAATCATTTACTATCCCAGAAGGTCACAATATGCAAAATCATTTAACATCAATTTTACTTTCAGTGTTTGACAACTTCATACCCACTCGAAATGCTTATATCCAATAATCTTCTAGACGTATAGAATCTAAACTTAAAACTTCTTCACAAAAGGAGTTCGTGGGAATGGTAGAGAGATCCATGATGAATTCAACAGAACCTGAAGAAGAAGGGACTAAATTAGTGTCATTATCACTAGACAAACTCTTAGGAGAACCTAATCTCTCTCTCTCTCTCTCTCTATCTATCTATCTATCTATCTATCCATCCATCTATCTATCTATCTATTTCTCTCTCTCTCTCTCTCTCTCTCTCTCTCTCTCTCTCTCTCTCTCTCTCTCTCACACACACACACACACACACACACACACACACACACTCAACCATCCGTTCTAAAGCTTTCAGCCATCGATTCCACAAATCGGTTATCTCCAAAACAATTTTGAGTTCTATAACTCTCCCATATACGTAACACTCACAAACATAAACCATGACTACGAATATAATGAGAAAAAAGTCAAGATGTTACACGCAACAGTTAGCAAATGATGAATAAGAGTTAAGAAAAGAAGTTGAAAAGAAGCACATGAAGATGTTGAGTTAAAATGGAGCTCAGACTATTTTGAAATAAGGAAAGGTAACACTTATTTAAGATTGTGAGTGGCAGACAACAAAGTGGTTGCATTTAAGAGTAGTAGTCTAGGGTAATTGAGGTAATGTTAACCTAACCTATAGTATATTTGCCACGTGACATTTAGGTCTCTGTCTCCCAAGCACTTTGTCCCTTTGGGCCTTACACTTGAGAGACTATTTATATCCAGTCTCTCACCCTAAAGCACTGGTATCTTTGAGTCTCATATTTGAGGGGCTATGTACATTCCAGTCTCTTTTTGGGTCGAGTACGAACTCGGGCACGAAGTGTTTTAGACGAGTATGATCCCGAACATGGATTAACCTCAAAAAAAAAGAGTCAAGGCAAACATACTAATCCAAGATAGACTCATCCAATTGATACTAATATACTTCAATACCGTAAAATACTTTGAAGAACACATTAACAATTAACAATCATAAATGATCAGTCTCCGACAAAGAAGGAAAGAGACCTATATCCATCATTGTACTTAAATAGACAATGAGACAAAGAGTAATGAATTAGTCATAAAAGACTCAGAATTTAGAAGACTTTATATAAGCTAACAATTGAAAGACTATTGATTCCATTGACACTTATACAAAACATTGAGACACTTACTATCCTAACATTAATAGAATTATCAAACTACTATACTCTACGTGTACAAGCATAATCTTGCAATAATTAAATTATTCATTTGTGTACAACTATATTAAAGTTGTTTCAAAACAGAAAAGAGACTATATTATACAACATCATATTAGCCGGTGGGTTTGGCTTAAGCGCAACCACAAATTATATTGTTTTGGCGCATACACAAATAAATAAAATTAGAAGAGAAAGTGAAATCATTTATCATCGGTTAATGCTACTTTCTACATACATTAACCAATCACGCACATTTCCCATGCTACTTTCTACTTACCATGAATTTAACTTATATCGCTTGATCAAAACATTAGCCTCATACCAAAAAGAAAACATCAAACCTTAAAAAGATGACTTGTAAGTTGCAGACACATGTGTTTCAAGTCTTATACTATATAATATGAACCCTATGCCATATGTTCTTCCTTCAACCTTAGACGTGCCACTGCTGAAGCCTGCTGCTGACCCCTTCTGTTGAAATCATGAATCTCACGTATGGCATTTTGTGATTTTAGCTGTGATGCATTATTATTGTTGGCAATGGTGTGGCTATTAGTCTTAGCCGCTGGCACATCATGATTATGTTTTCCTTCATATGTTGTCATTACTGCTTTAGGATCCGTTGAAACCCTCTCAATATGCTTCCTAACATTACAACCCGGGCTTGTGCATTTGTAATAGCTCCTACATATCATTCAAGAATGCACATTATCATCTTTTCAATTTCATAAATCATTTCAAGGTTTCGCTAATTTCAAAACTAACTTATATTTCTCGACTCCTACAACTTCAAACATAAAAATCTTGAAACGCTGTTGTCAATTGTCATCATACAGACTTTTGTTCTTGTCACCTTAGAAATCAAGGATGCAGCAGTACGAGCCTATAGAACATATCATGTTCAAGTATGGTTGTACTACTGTATCATTGATTTCTAACAAATCAGGAATTAAAGTTTGGAGGATGACTAACGACTATACAATTAGAGTGTGACTAACGACCGAGATGATATAGTGGTAACAAACTTCAGAGACTAAATCATTGGACTATATAATTAAGTAGTTGTGATTATGTAATCACCTTGGATGCGGATTTCCTTTGACAACTTTCTGCCCGTATTTGCGCCATTTATATCCATCCTCTAACAGATCTACATCACTTGTTGTTTGCACAATGATTCTAGGCTTTGAGACAGCACTCCTATGTGAAAAGTCATATATAGAATGGTTCGCGATTAGTTGACAGTATAAATGTTTTATCTCAACAAGAACATGATTTTACAAACCTAACCCATACCATACCTTCTTTTGCGATCAGGTTCACAATTTTTCTCAGTTTCATGATCTTTTTCTTCGTCGCTGTCACTTGCTCCTGACAACTCTTGTTGCACATTTGAATTATCTTCCGTGAGCTTGCTTGGACGAGGGCGTTCGTGAATGTGCTCTCCTTTGTAAATAATTTGAGTTACATGTCCATCAACAAGATCGCGTTCGACTTTTTTCTTCACGGGACAACTCAGATGTGTACACTTGTAATAGCTTCGAGGAAACTCGCAACCTTTGACTTGTTTCTGTCCATACTTCCTCCAGTTGTAGCCGTCGTCATTAGCTTTATCGACATTCACAGAACAAGACTGTTGTAACGTTTGTTCTAAGTTGGAAGAACAATCAACAGATTTTGCTATTGGTTCCTGGGAGTTAGGTATGTGTTGTTGTGCAATGTTGTTGAATGTAACTGCCTGAAGTTGTGTCAATGAGGTGCTTGTAGGCACTATTGATGAAGAAAATGAATGTTCAGATTGGATTTGAACATTTGAATAGGCTTGTGCTAGTGGTTGCTGTTAGGAGGATAAGGAAACAGAAACAATTCAACTCAATTCAAATTCAGAGTGATTATGTTATTGTTAACCACAAGCAATTCATCTAAACTCCAAAATGAAACATGACATTAAACATTCTAGTTAGAATTTATTTTTAATTTAATATCATTTTAAATTTTTAATTGAATTTGACCAAATCAAAAGATGAAGAATAGTCATCTTTTATAAATTTTATTTTAACTTTATTTTTAGTGGTGGTTTAGTTTTTCAATATTTTTTATATGCTTTATTTTCCTAACTAGTTATACTTATAGTTTAAGGACATTTCATTGTAATTGTCCAATTTAAACCGAAAAGGGTATTTTTAAATAAAACCAAGCAATCAATCATCTTAGAAAATCAACCGATGAAAATGAACTAATCCATGATCTTGCTTTGGCACCCGCTTGTTAAATCAAACACTTACATTCACATGAGTAGATGGTAATAGACCAATCTGAGTAAGAGATACCTATATCCTAACCTACATAATTTTAAACTTTTTTCTAAATCTATTTAATTAAAGAGGATATATCATAAGCTATAAATAAGTTTTTTCTTTTAAATCTTTCGGATTTATCTATTTAAATAAATAAATATATTATTATTATTATTATTATTATTATTATTAAAAAATAGTTAGATTTTTTATTAAATATAAAAATAAAGTTTAATTATTATAAGAACTTAAGAAAAATAAGTTAAAAACTCCTTATAAATTATTTCTAATTCTATTAATTTAATAGTCTCATAAACTTTATGCTATAAAATAAATTCAAATAAGTTAATATAAATAAATCTTTAATTTTATAATTTTAATCTATTTAAATATTAATTATTTATTTATATATTCAAATAAAATAATTTTTTAAATAAACTAATAAACCACTTTCAGAAAGATCATACCGGAACTTTGAAAATAAAGTTATAACCTTATAAAAACTATCCAAATTAACTTTTAATTTTTAATAAAAAATTAATTTAACTAAGTCTTTTCAAACTCGGCCTATTCTCCTTCGGCATGAGTTTAAAACTTTTTAGATTTATAATTCTTTTCTTTTTTTTGATATAAAATATTTTATTTACTACTTTTCTATATATATATATTCTATATATATATATATATATATATATATATATATATATATATATATATATATATATATATATATATATATATATATATATATATATAGAAAGAGAGAGAGAAAGGAGAGAGTAAATATTAATAAATCCTCATTCTTACTCTTTTGATAATTATACTCTAATTTTTTTTTATCAGTTACGCATATTATGCTGGGTTTTAGGGAGGAGGCATTTTTTCTGTCCGGATCTTTCCCATGGCCTTCTTTCTGTGAATCTAATAAATTTGTAATATTTTTATATGATTGTCTATTTTTTATAATATATTTAATTATTTATTATCTCTTTTTTTTGGTAAGACATTTTATTTATTTTGTTTGTACAATAAATAGTTTAAGATATTATTAGACAAAGCCATAAATGAACATTAGTGCAACATCATTTCATCCGGCTAAAGGGGCCATGGATTTTTTGACTTAACCAACAAATGAAACAAAGACAGACAATAATTGAGATGTTGAGGTTCCATTACCTGAGGTGAAGAACTAAACATGGCCAGCGGTGAGAAGCCACCGCCTCTTCCTCCTCCATGCTCCACATCCAACATAGTGCCGGCGAGAAGCTCTGAGAATGTCTTGCAGTCGTCGTTGTCTCCAAACATGCTCGAAATTAGAGTCATCGGACCCGGACTAAACCCCCCACCAGGCCACTCTCCATTTCCACCCCCAACCATTCTTCACTTTATTGATTATTGATTACTAAATGAAACCAGATGAATGAACAAAACAAATAACTACAACACACGATTTCTTTGATCTCAATTTTCAATTTCAGCAAAAAGTCCACGCCTCAAATACATCAGAAAGAAAGATAATACATCTTCTCTACCCTGCCTGCCATTTTCTCTTTCTCTCTTTCATGTATATAATAACTTTTATATATGTGATATTCTTCCATTATCTCTTTCTAAGTCTTGGTCTACTAATTTGTCCAAAAAAAGTCTACTACACCAACAGTGACTCCATCATTAATATATTAAATGTCACTTTAAGTTTTTTTTTTTTGTATAGTTTTAAAAAATTGTATATAAATAAAAAGTCTAATAAATTTATAAAATAAAAAGTCTAATAAATTTATAAAATCGTCTTTATTTATTATTGAATAACTTTTATTAAAAGTTAAATGCGTAGTTGAAACGCACCACTTAAAATATATAGAAAAAGAAAAGGATAACAAAAAAGATGAAGACCGAAATTCTTTATCCTTTATAAGATTTTGAATCTATAACTTGGCATGTTGAGTTTATCCTTTACAATATATGAACAATTAAAATTTAGAGTAATGGAACTAAGGTATTTGCGGTAGAATTCCCTTCCATGAAGGTGGGAGTAACAATGAGATGCATAGATTTAGCATAAGTTGCACAATTTGTCCAATAGTTTCTTAACCTCCAAGAGATGGTGGCTTTGTTCTTAAAGATCATTACAACTAATATTGAATTTGCCTCAAGCCATAAATTGTGCATCTGTAGATGGTATTGGTGAACAAACTCAATGGCACGAAGGGCCCCAAAAATTTCTGCAAAGAAAGTTGACTCCTGGCCTGTCGGTTCCGCGGAAGCACCAAGAAACTCAACTCTAACATTTCTGTATATGCCACCGTAGCTGGCCATGGTGTTGGTGGAAGCTTCATCAACATTGCAGTTGATCCAATTCAGAGAAGGAGGAAACCAAAATACCTCTTTAATAGATGACACTTTAGGAGGATGAATGACAATACTGAAAGACTTGAGCAAGGAGAAATTCGGAACCGATGGGGATGAGCAGATAGTAGTGGAATAACTTGCTAAAGAGATAGAGAAGGTTGCCATAGAAGCATCAGTTTCCCAGGTAATCTTCTTATCTTGAAATCTAAATTGGTTTCTAACATACCATATTGTGGATATCATATTAGTTAAAGTTGATTTGTAGACAATCATACACTGGGGGATCTTTTAGCATAACAAATTTTCCACAAATCCATTGTCCTAGAGACTTGTCAATTGACTCTGAGCTTATTCCCAAGCCAAGCCTAAAGTTTGGAAGCATAATCACAACTCCAAAAAAGATGCATAATTTTTTTCTTTTCTAAGGCATAATGAGCAGACAGAGGAAATGTAACACCTTCTCACCTTTAGATTGTCATCGGTGGCTAGCTTGTTGTGTATGAACTTTTGAGCAATAACAACTAAAGAATAAGGGATATTGTAACACCATAAACCTTGAAACTTATATATCAAGGATTACTCCATAATTTAAGGGGTTATCAACGACAATCCTTCAACAAAACATAGACATTTTAAAAACATGCAACAGAAAGGTAAACAACATACAACATTTGTCATCACATATTCACCTTCACTTAGAATACCATCACAGCTAAATCACATTAATTTAGATAATAAAACATGTTAACTTCAATTTGGGTCTTATAAAGACTTAACTTTCATAAAATAATTCAGATGAATTTTATTATGCAACTCTCAACAATATCAAAACAACTGAACATAATGGTTATTAAACTTCAACAAGACAAATAAGTCGACATCAAACATAATGAAAGAAAACATCGTTTGCCCCTAGTGCTACAGAATTATAACATAGCGACTAAAAATGTGATAACTTATAAAAATGACTCCAAGAGCTATTTCTCACTCATAGCAGCAACTCTAATATTGAGTATCTACAAGATGTCCATGGTGGACAAAATCAAATCAAAGGGGGGGGGGGGGGGGTGGGGGGGGGGGGAGGATGAGAATTCATATAAACATATTCAACAACAATCACACAATATCTTTCTCACACCCACTCCATCGACATACACAAAATAGTCACATATTCATAATTTAAATAAAGAAATGAGACTCACAACTTCAACTAGATTCATATGCATGTGGTATTATATCATCATCAATTGGTTCACCCTGCTCGAACCTTGAATCCACCCTGCTCGGATTCGAGACAAGTCACCTATCTACCCTGCTTGAATTACAACTTGCCTCTTTCATTAACAATAATGACATAATAAATTCATGTTACATCACGTCAATGTGAAAATAACATAATGTTTAAAGTCCCCTCCCGATAATAAACAAAACATGCATTGACCTGACGATAATAGTTCCCCTCCCGAACTATTATCCTACAATTACATACTCATAATTCAACTACCCAATTCATGCTCATACAACAACACATCATCATCATAATTTACAGCAATTAAGATAACATCATCATCACATGTGCACATATCCATTCACTTATTAAATAATTTATTGATTTAATAAAAAATCATGTTTAATTGTTAAGTCATACCAAAACATCATTTGAATAATAGCTAACAGAGCCTAATAGTACCCAAAATATCCACAAAGTTCAAAAGGTCAAAATTTACGACTAAATATCATCAAAACAAGCATCTATGCCTACTAAAGGCTCATGACGGGTTACATATCATGTTGTGGCGTCCGCCACCGACCTCAACACTTCAGAACATCACCTATGTGACGATCGAATTTTAACCTAAGCCTGGGTAACGTGACAGGTTACCCGTCACCAGTGTGATGCCCGTCAGCACCCTGTAACCTGCATAATTCTTCTCTTTTGATGGAGTTTAATGCATAACTCCTAATTCTCACTCCAGGCATTCAAAATCGATCCAAAACATCACACACATTGTCATACCCTAATTTTTAACCCTAAGATTCCACCTCATTTTCATCATTTTAACTTTGTTAGTTCCTGATTGGCAGACATTTTGGTAAAACTAGGTGTAATCACAAGATGTCCTACAGGATGTCGTGACATCTGTTTCTAAGGTTCTACAGGTAGCTTTGTATGTTGTAGCAAGACTTCTCATGATGTCATGTATGATGTCCTGACACCTATGAACAAAACATTCTGTATGAATGTGCTGGTTTGTTTATCTCTTACGTGCAAACCTGTTGCACTTATCTAGAGTAAATCTGCAAGGTTATTGGTATTACACAAAGGCGTTTTTTATTTACTTTTGAGGATCGTGTGGATCTATTCTCAGAAGATTATCTTTGAGATTTAATTAGAGATTTGAAGAAATATTTGATTGGATCTGATTAAACAAATCAAATCTGTTTCTTTGCTACAATTTATGAAGATTGATCTCTTCTCAAATCTGCTGTTACTTTTGCCACAACCCAAGCCCGTTCAGTATTTCTATTTAAGGATGTGTAAACCCTAGCTTTGAGATCAGAGAAGCTATGATTAAAGTGTGTGAATTTGTGTAAGGTTTAGCTTTTGTGTGTTTTAGTAATTTGTGAGCCATTCACTCATTGTCTTAATGTGTGAATTGGACTAGGTTTTGCATTGTAATTTGTTCACTCAAAGCTTGTAAGCAAGAGTGTATTGTACTTGATTGAAGATTTTAAGCAAGATCAAGTTGTATATTTGAAGAGTGCCTTCTAAAGCTTATTCATTTGTTGTTATCACTGATGTGATTAAGGGGAAGTGAGAGGTGTCTCTTATCTAGGTATGTCCTAGGTAGATATTGCAAGGGTAGAGATTAGGTGAGAAGATGGTAAACTAGAGAGAGTCTACTGTATATCTTCAAACTAATTCTACTTAGTTGATTTCCTTCCTGGCTTGGTAGCCCCCAGAAGTAGGTGTGTTTTCACCGAACGGGGTTAATAATTGCTTGTGTTTCTTTACAATTGTTACTTATTTATCCTTGTTTTTATTGATGCTTGAACGAATATTTGTGTCGTAAACATCACCTTTGACATCTAATATCTGATACCAGAATTTTAATTGGTATCAGAGCAGGCATCCTGCTCGGGTTCTGGGTGAGATCTAAGGACGATAATTTTTGGTACCATGGACAAAGAAGGAGGATTTGTGAACAGACCACCTGTTCTTGATGGGAATAACTATGACTATTGGAAACTACGTATGGTTGCTTTTTTGAAATATCTGGATAATAAGGCCTGGAAAGCTGTCATAAAGGGATGGGAACACCCTTTGATTATTGACAAAGATGGAAAGGCTACATCTGACTTGAAGCCTGAGGAAGAATGGACAAAGGAAGAAGATGAATTAGCTCTGGGCAGCTCCAAAGCTTTGAATGCCTTGTTCAATGGAATTGATAGGAACATATTCAGATTGGTTAACAACTATGAGGTAGCTAAAAAAGCCTGGGAGATACTGAGAACTACTCATGAAGGCACATCCAAGGTAAAGATATCCAGACTTCAACTGTTGACTACTAAGTTTGAAAACCTGAGGATGAAAGATGATGAAAGCATACATGACTTTCATATGAATATTCTTGAAATAGCCAATGCTTCAAGTGCCTTAGGAGAAAAGATGACAGAAGAAAAGTTGGTAAGAAAAATTCTCAGATCTCTTCCCAAGAGATTTGACATGAAAGTAACTGCTATAGAGGAAGGCCAAGACACCTGTAAGATGAGAGTTGATGAACTTATTGGGTCTTTTTTAACCTTTGAAGTAGGAATAAGTGACAAAGCTGACAAGAAGAAAAACATAGCCTTTGTGTCAAATACTGAAAGTAGAGAGGATGAATCAGATGAAGGTACAAATGAAAGCTTATCAAATGCCATAATACTTCTTGGAAGACAATTCAACAAGGTTATAGAAAGAATGGATATGAAGATGAAACCTAATATCAAGAACATCTCACAGGACATCAATAGGTCCAATGATG